TTTGAACAGATTTCTAGGAAAGGTACTAAAAACTAGGGCTTTGCATCTCAGAAAACGTGAACAGCAGGTCACAGTTCTGATGTGAAAGAGGTGAAAGCTAAGGAGAGATTCTCTTGGAAGCTTATCTGAAACACAGTAGACATAAAGAAACACTTTTGTACTTGAACTTAAATAATTTACAAAAAAAATCTGAAAACAAATGAAAACATTGCAATTGACAAACAAGAATGAATTCAGCCATCTGTGAAACACCAGGATGACACATGAATCTAAACTACATATTTTACCCTGAGTTCTAAGAGCAATATTCTAGTTTCCAACAATTTTAAGACATGAGACTTGGCAGAAAACGTTGTTTACCAAGTCCTCAAAATGCAATGTGATGCCAGCTGAGTAGAGAAATCCACTTATTTTCCTCATCAAAATGAGACTGGATTGTAGAATTTTCAGTTGATAAAGCACTCACCACTAATGAAGTCTACATCTTTGTTCCACATAGGCTTGTGGAAGATGAAAAATAAATAAACAAAAAAACCACCTTTACTTCCAAGTTTCCATAAGGAGCTTTGCTTCCATTGAGTGTTTTCAGAGGGTAGAAAGAGCCTGTGGTTTTTCCACTGACTCATCTCAGCACAATGAAGACAAGGTTGTAGGAAAAGAACAGTCTGTCTTGTATTTCCAACAATGCATCTAAATCCTGATCAAGAAAGTATTATTGAGTTTTCATTCTCATACATCCCTCTTTTTAATTTGTTCTTGCTCTTCTCAGTATTATAAATAAAGTCACTTGATTAGAATGGGCTGAGAATAAGAAAGTGATTATGAGGGACAGAAAAGCAGCTGACGGCAGAAAGGATAAGATGGCAGGGGGAGACTGCGACAGCAGTAAATCCATGAGACAAGAACAGAGCAAGGTGCACTGAGTGCTGGTCTGGTTTCAAACACTGCCAGGGGCAAGTGCAGCTGACACTGCTGGCCATGTACGGGCAAGGTGGCAGAAAGGTAACCTCCCACAGACCAGGGTACTGCAGCAGTTATGAAATCCCCATCAGGCTGTGAATCATAAAGCCATGTTTGTCCTCCCCACACATCTGGGCATTGAACTCTAGCTGGTACAAACCAGCAGCTCAGACTTTGAAGGTAGGGACTCAGGATATGTGTGAATCCAGGGAATTAACCTGGCAGCCTCAATGGGAAGACAGGAAGTAGAGATGGAAAGGGAGGGAAATCCAATGATATTTCAGTAGCTGGAGGCTGGCACAATATTCTGTACTGAACTGCTTTCTTTGTAGAAAAAAAAGCCAGCTGTCAGTTTGCTTGATATCCTAGTTCTCCCCTAATTCAATTCTGTTAAATTCTGTGTTCAAATTCTACTGAAAGTATTTTTGTGTTGCAGCTGCGGAGAGACAGAATGGTTTTGTTTTGACATGGAAAGAATTTAGATACAGATTTTTTATTTACTTTTTTAAAGCTAACATCATAGCAACACAAGTAGAGAACTAGACAATAGGTTTTGTGCCTTGCCTGGTCACTCTACAGCTTTCTTTGTAAGCTACTCAGATTTCTTAATATTTTAGAAGAGAGGAACTAAAAATGCAGCCCTATGGCCTATTATAGTCCCACAGAGACTTTTATGTAGTTGCCAAAGAAGCTTTTAAACTATGACCTCCCTCAATGGTACTAGCTGATCTTTGCTATCCCCATTGTGGTAGTAACTGCCACAGGATTTCCCCAAGGTCTACATGGTCTCTTCCACATGGAGTGACTCAGAAGGGACTCCAGGAATCCATTGGGAACATTTGGGGTCAGGGCTGGAAAGGCCAACCACTAGATTTGCTGGCTCATCCCAGCAGCTGCTCTGTAAAGGCCCTTCAGCTGAAGACATCTTGGACTTTCCAAAAGAGACTACTTTAAAAAGTAAAAACCACCCACACTACCACACACAAAAAAAACCAAGCAAAGCCACCTACACAAGCATCCCCTAGTGTAAGGCATACAGACATGGGGTCATATGGCTGATACTGGAGATCAAGGCTATAAAGAACTCACCAATGGACAGCTAAAAAGAAATGTAAAGCCAGGAGCTGCATAAAAATAATTTTAAGGGTAACAGAAAAAACTCACACCTGTTTTCCAACAAATTAAATACACACCACATATAGTACATTCAGATGTGGAGATGCAAGACAGTAAACAAAAAGGAAGACATAAAATCTTGTTAGAAAATATTTTTAAAAATACACCACATTCTTCCTGGTGCTGATTATTTTAGACAATCATAACTCACTTATTCTGGTTTGGTTTGGTGGGTGCTTTGATATGGGGGAAGGGTGCCAGGAGTGGTTCCCATAAGAAGCTGAGAAGCTCCCCCTGCTCCAAATCCAGGTGAGGAGCCATTGGAGGGACAATAGATGTGCCTCTGCGATTAACATACGAAAAAATGAGATAACACCTGAGCAGAGTGAGCACTTAGTAGGTACAAAAAACCAAGAGCTGTGCTGGAGAGGCAGAGCAGTGCTGGTGGCTGGTGAGGAAGAAGGGGAAGAAGGGGAAGAAGAAGCTTCCCTGCAACACATGGTGAGATGGCAGCTGTGCCCCTGCACTCGTGGAGGAACGTGGTGAACCCTGAAGGTGCCAGGAGGGGCAAAACTGGACAGTGGACTTGGATTTTGAGGCCAGTGAATTTGCTGCCAATAGACTCTGATTATGCAGTTTTGGAAGACCCTGGCACCAGAGGAGTTGGCTCATCCTGAAGCAGCCTGTGACTCTGCGGGAGGCCCAGGCTGGTGCAGCTTGTTCTGGACCTCGTGGGAAGAACTTGTGAAGGAGAGGTTTGTGGAGGACCATGGGAGGGATCCCGTGAGGAAGCAGGGGAGGACTGTGAGGAATCCTTCCTGAGGAGGATGGTGTGGCAAGAACCACCAATGAAGTGACTCTAAACCCCATCCCTTTTCCCCCTGTTCAGCTGGGAGAAAGGAGGGAGGGAACAGGGAACAAAGTAATTTGGGCCTGGGAAGAAGGGAGGGATGAGGAAACACATGCCATTCTATGCAACTGCTGCTCTGTGTGCTGTCTGTGTCGTGTGTTTGATTACTATTAAATTATTATTTTTTCCCCAAGTTGAGTCTGTTTTGCCCGGGACCTTAAAATCATAGAATCATAGAATCCTAGGGGTTGGAAGGGACCTCAAAAGATCATCTAGTCCAACCCTCCTGCCAGAGCAGGGTCACCTAGAGTACATCACACAGGAACGTGTCCAGGTGGGTTTTGAATGTCTCCAGTGAAGGAGACTCCACAACCTCTCTGGGCAGCCTGTTCCAGTGCTCTGTCACTCTCACAGTAAAAAAAATTTTTTGGATATTCACCTTGAACTTCCTATGCTCCAATTTACACCCATTACCCCTTGTCCTATCACTGGTCATCACTGAGAAAAGCCTAACTCCATCTCCCTGACACTCACTCCTTACATATTTTTAAACATTGATGAGGTCCCCCCTCAGTCTCCTTTTCTCCAAGCTAAAGAGACCCAGCTCCCTCAGCCTTTCCTCATAAGGGAGATGTTCCACTCCCTTCATCATCTTAGTAGCTCTGCGCTGGACTCTTTCTTAATCGGTGAAGAACTCCTCATCCTTAGTCTCAACCCAGGAGCTTTACTCTCTTCATCCAAGAGTGTGTGTGTGTGTGGAGTTGAGTGAGCGGCCACTGGGCTGTTCCTTTGTTGTCATGTTGGGCCCAAACCACAACATCACTGCAAACCTTTCACCCTAGCCTGAGCTATCCTTAGGACCCAGAGAGACTATGGAAAGGCAAGCATGATACTAGAGAAGAGGAAGGCAGTAGGAAGTATCCTTGTTAAACCACACCACCACTAGTGTCCTTATATTTGATTATTGCTTTGAGAAGAGGCAACACAGCAGCCATCTATATATTATGGATTTAGAAGACTCACTCTTCAACCAGCATGCAGCAAAAAATCCATTTGGGAGAAAAACTTTAGAAACCAGAGGAAAGCAAGCTGAAAGGAAGCTTTGAACAACTTCTTCTAGATGAAAATGACACCAACAATAAGATGTGATGAATGGAAGGACATAAGGTGAAGTGTTAAAGGAAACCCACAGCCATTTACTTCAGCCCAGCAGTCTAAGAGTTCACAATACAGGAAATCAGCCCAGATTGTAAACAAACTGTCAAGTGTGAGGTTTTTTCACCTTTTTTGAAAAGGAAATATAAAAAGGACCTCTAGATGCCTAGCTTGCTGTCTCCAGAAAAGTTATTATCACATGAACAAAACTATAATAAATATCCCTTAAATGCCTTAGAGCTCTTTCTCCATTTTATTCATGGTAATAAACTTCTCATATTCTTACAGACTCAAGCAAGTTTCATACCTTTTTTGCTGAGCAACAGCATGATAGTCAAGCCAGTAAGCTCATCTAGATGTATTTCCCAATTTGGGCTCACAATTTTTTTTAAGCCTCTCTATACTACCAATAAGACCAATTTGAAAAGACCAATGTAATCACAAATAGATGTCAGTGAAACCCAATTTCTGTTGCAAGCATTGAGCTCCCAGAAAAAGAGAGAAAATCAGGACACGCATTGACTACAGAAAAACCTCAAGTGGCAGAAAACTTGTCAGCCATCTTCACTAAGTGGCCACACAGCATTTCTGAAGATGGAGTGAGAATTGCTTTGACTACATGTAGTCCTTGAACTCAACTTACTTATGGCCCTGAATAAACCTCTGAAAATCAGAGCCCTAGACAAGCATGAATGTGTAGTTTCTCCACAGGGAGCACTGTATCAGTACTGGTTCCTGCCTCACCCCAATGAACATCACAGTAGAAGTCAACTTAATATCACTGTGTTCCTAAAAGTAAAAGCAAGAAACAAACAGCCTTCAAAAACTCTATTACACATGATAAACACAGTTTTTGTAGTACTTAACGTAATATAGGAATGAAACTGAAACCTCACCTTATGCAACTAGTGGATTTTACCACTTTGCATCCCACATACCCATTTTGTGCCAAGTGACGGCACTCAGGACGACCTGCTCCATAACTTTCCCTGGCACTAAGGTCAGACTGACAGGTCTGTAGTTCCCAGGATCATCCTTACAACCCTTCTTGTAAATGGGCATCATATTTGCTAGCTGCCAGTCACCTGGGACCTTCCCTGTTAGCCAGGACTGTTGGTAAATAATGGAGAGTGGCTTGGTTAGCACTCCTGCCAGCTCCTTAAGTACACTTGGGTGATCTCATCTGGTCCCATAGACTTGTGCACATCTTTGAGCCACAAAAGGTCACTGATGATTTCTTTCTGGACTGTGGGGACTGCATTCTGCTCATCCCTATCATCCAATTCAGAGAGCTGGACCCCCAGGTAGCAATCAGCACTTGTAACAATAACTGAGGAAATGTGAGTGCTCAGCAGCTCAGCCTTTTCCTTGGCCTTAGTCACAAGGTTTCCTCCCACGTCCAGTAGATGGTAGATATTCCCCTTTACTCTTCTTTTACAGTTAATATACTTGTAAAAACACTTTTAATTATCTTTAATGATGCCAGCCAAATTGAGTTCTAGTTGAGCTTTGGCTCAGCTTTCTAATTTTCTCCCTACATAACCTTGCAACAACCCTGTACTCTTCCTGAGTTGCCTGCCTCTTCTTCCACAGCCAGTAGACTTTCCTTTTCTTCCTGAGCTGAGCTCAAAGCTCCTTATTTAGCCAGGCTGGTCTCCTACCTCACTGGCTCATTTTGCAGTGAACAGAGACAGCTAGTTCCTGTGTCTTGAGGATTTCCCTCTTGAGGAACGTCCAGCCTTCCTGGACTCCTTTGCCCTTGAGGGCTGATTCCCAAGGGACACCATCAACTAATCTCTTAAAGAGGTCAGAGTCTGCCTTCTGGAAGTCCAAGGAGGTAGTTCTGTTTACCTCCCTCCTTACTTCCCTAAGAATTGCAAACACCACTATCTCATGGTCGCTTTGTCCAAGACAGCCACCAACCTTCATATCCCCCACTAGTCCTTCTCGATTCACAAACAGCAGGTTTGGTAGAGCATGTTCTCTAGTTGGCTTGGTCACCAGTTGTGTTAGGAAGTTATCTTCCACAAACTCTAAGAATCTCTGGGACTGCTTCCTGTCTGCTGTGCTGTTTTCAGCAGACATCTGGTAAGTTTGAGTGCCCCACAAGAACAAGTGATAGTGATTCTGAAACCTTACCCAGCCACCTGTAGAACACCTCATCAACCTCTTCATCCCGACTGTGTGGTCTGTAACAGACCCCAACCATGACATTGTTAGCCTTCCCCTTGATTCTTACCCATAAGCATTCAACCCTATCATCACCATGATGCTCAAGACAATCAAGACCTTCCCTAACACACCAGGCCACACCACTAACTTTCCTCCTGCACCTTTCCCTTCTGAAGAGTTTGTAGCCACTATTGTGAATAACTTTTTAGCATCCTCTTTAAGAAAAAGGCTTAATATTTGCAAGCAAAAACTTCAAGTCAAACTAAAATATAAAATAACTCATGTGTGTCATAGTGCCCTCTCAACAGGCACTTTACTAATTCCTTAGTGTATTTCTAAGCAGTTTTATGTTATGACTTGATTATTTGATAATAACACCTCCTAATACCTTCATTCCTCAGAACTAAAAATATTGCTTTCATTTACTTCAGTGTCTCACTTGCCATTTACTCATAACTGTATTGAAAGAGACTAATAGCCAAAAATATTCACAAAACTTTAGTTTGCAAATGTGATGAAAAGAGCAGTAAGAAGGGTACATAACTAGAACAGTTTGTCATTTAAAAGAAATTGCTAACACAATCAGGCACTGAAAGATCCCACAAATACAGCTTATCTTAGCTCACTTCAAAAACAGGTATAAGACCTTTATTACCACTTCTTCACAGCTTAATGCTTAAAGCCCAGTGTGAATCCACTAGACTTCACTGAACTTCTACAAACTTTGAGAAATGGTGGACTATCTACCTCATACTTCTCAAAAGAGTAGCAACAGGAGATTTAGAAAACTTGGATAACAAAAACAAGGTCCAACAGATCTCCCTGGGCATATTTTTCCTTGAAACACACTATTCTACTCACAGGAGCATCTGTGATTCAGCTTAATCTTAGAAAATTTATAAATTGCCTGAATGAAATGACATGACAATGCTTCTATGTCAATTAGATCCCATTTTTCTCATCAGAACAAATGGCCAGATGTTTAGATGAGCCTCATCGGGTTTGGATTCACTGGCCAAGGTAATGCAGGTAGAACAGCATTTCCTTTCATTAAGTCTTAAGAGCATTATTCATAAAAAATATCTACCTAATATTTCTCTCAATGTATTTTCTTCATTTTGCTAAAACCATCTTATATTAGCTCGACCTCACATGGTCTGTCATCACCACAATTTGTACCATAGCAACCCATTATCCTACATAGTCACATGAATAAAAACGGAATGTAGCACTGTCCCTATGCATATGAAGTTTTAATTTAGGTCAGTGTTCAGTGCTGTTAGATAACAAAATGCAGTCACGGGCTGCCTCTCATATCTAGAGCACAAGGAGATGTGTACAGTGTGTACTCAAGCAATATATATAAGGGGCTGGTTTTGCAATGTCATGGGTCTGGAGAAACAGAAGTTATATCTCTCAACTTAAACCTCTGTTTAGGTGTTTTTTTTTCATAACTATTGTAATCAAACTGCCATTTGCAATAGAAGATTTGTGGATAAGCCTCATAAGGATGTCCAGGACTTCTATGTACGTGTCACAGAATCACAAAATGGTTTGGCTTGGAATGGACCTTAAAGATCATCTTGTTCCAGCCCTCCCCTGCATACACAGGGACAAATCCCACTAGACCAGGTTGCTCAATGTCGCATCCAATCTAGGATCTGTTCTGGGATGTGGGATCTAGATCTAGATCCAGATCTGTTATCTGGACATACAATAGGAAGAGCACAGCTCTCGAGAAGCCTAAACAAAAGGCCACAAGCAAAGCCTTAAAATATACACCTGAAAAAAACAGCTGCCTTACTCTACTGCTCAGGGAAAGCAGGTAAGTTTTAGCCTAGAGATCCAACTCTCAGTAGTATAAAACAAATCCTGAATCTGGAAATCCAAATCCTGCAAATATTAGGGAACTTTTTTCTCTGCCACTTCCGTAAGAGGACATGAGCTCTCACAACTTTTCAAGACTGACATGACAGGAGCTGTGGGACAACGTAAGCTCAGCGCCAGCAACAAGCTGTAGGAAAGGAGAATGCATTTGCTTGAGCTCACTATCGAGAGTATTTCCAGTTGCCTCACAGTAGCTCACTGTTTGTTTCTAGCTGGCTCATTGCACCATTGAAGGAAGACTGAGGAAAAATATTACTCAAAGAACAGTCATGAAATGCAAATCCTTATCCATGAAAGATGATAGCGAAACATTAACAACAATGGAGAGGCTAGTATTTGGAAACTGCCAATATTACACAGAAACAAAGTAACAGAAAGGAAATATTTTGATCTGATTTTCAGCATGGAAAATAAAATTAATTCCCAGAAGTGGTAGAAGGAGTTTTGTCTCATGTCCACAATGTAAAATGTTGTACCACTGAATAAAAAACATCACATTTGAACCTGTCTCTGAGGAGTCGACAAGAGGAGAGGATAATCTGAGCATGACAGGTTGGTTAGCCTGGCCTCAGTGTAAGGTTTTTAGAACAAAATTCTGAAAAGGGAAGACAAACAGAGAATAAGAGAACATATAAAAGAACATAATTAAATGGACACATTTCCACAGAGTCATTTGAAAAATCAAAAGCAGAAGTCTAAAGTACATGATCCCTAGAGCACATCTCTTGGCCTTTCAATCCTCATCACACCCAGGGCCAGTGGAATAATTTACTTACCCTTCTTCCCATGCCCCCAGGGAGAAAACAGAGCAGTGATTCTGTATTTTGGGCAAGTTCTCAAAAAAGGAGTCTCATACTAGAACACTCTATAGATCCCTGTTGCTAGGGAACTCTATGGGCTTTTTGTTGTTTTGTTTTTAATCTTCATTTTCTTTCCAATTTTTCCTTCTCCATACTTTTAATCTACAATTAGCAAAGTGGTGCAGACAAGTGCTCTCTATTTACAGAAAAAAACCCAACTCTTAAAACCGTAGTAGATATTTCCAATTCCCTGTAAGAGTGCCTCCCTACTCAGAGCACTCAGGCTGTCAAGTGAGCTTTAGTTGAACTGATAAAACAGAGATGCAAAACCAGTTATATCCCTCTCAGAGCATAGGCACTGGATAAAAGAGAAGATGTAAAAGTTGAGACACACTAGAAAAAGATTTTGTAAGTATACTAAGATCTAAATACAGCACTGAGTTATACAGTGTATGGAAGCCAAGTCAAGAACACTTCAATCTACTAAAAACTAATCTAAGCAAATTAAAGCTCCCAGGAAAAGTCCCTCTATTTCTTCATTTATTACATTGATCCACATGCCTCCATAAACCCCTAGAAAACTACAGCTAACGAAGTTTGACCCATATTTTTTACTGAACTTCCTCCTCCTTTCTTATTCAAGGGCTCTTTTATTGGTCACCATGTGTGGAAACACAGAGTTAGTTTTTTTTGTTTAATTTTCACCTATCTTTGATACTGACCATAACCAGATTCTGACCCAGTCATTTCATAGAAGTTATGTAGTCCTCAACTGAAATCTCAACTCCAATACCATCCATTTCCAGTTTTGCCTAAAAGCTGTATCAAACAAATCCCTTGAAAATCCACAGAAGTCTTAAAAACCTGGTTGCCAAGAAAACAAAAAACTACTCCATACAGGTTGTTTGTATCCTCAGAGCTTGCTGCTCATGACATTGGGCCAGAAACTCCTGGCACTGAAACTAAAGATCAAACTTCAAAGGGCTGAATGTCATCACAACTTCTTAAGTGTCTCTGAAATTATGACTATATTATATTACTCTTTCTGTAGTTTACTACTGTGCACAAATATGCTGCATCTGGAATACACAAAATCCACACTTCTTGTTATCTGTGTTTATTGAAATTGTTGTGCCAGGGGAGTTTTTCTGGAATGAATGCTGAAAGTTCAACTCAAGAGCAGAGTCTTAGCTTTGACATCTCTCA